CCCGCTGACGGCCTTACCAAACCACTGGATCGGGAACCATTCCACGCATTCAGACACCTCCTACGGATGACCCCCCTTCCCACTACCAGCACCACCGCCGCGCATCCCGAAAACGATGTTTGAGATACGAAAAATTGCCTATCTAGGAAAGGAATATGACTTCAACACCTCGTTCAACGCTCCCTCGCCTAGGGGGCCGTGTTGAAGCAGTAATACTAGTAGCCTCGGTCACGTGACCCCTACATACCAAACAACCCCTACTTCTACCCTCGCTGCGCAACCCCTAGATAGGAACACAACACAACACACAAAAACAACTCTCTGCCCTTTCTTTGCTTCCTACGAGTAGACGTTCCAACATATCGTATTTATATGCTATATGCAAATGCCTGTTTGACTTTATGCTTTGCAGAGACTAATAATCAAAGAAACCTAAGAATAGACCACCAAGCAAGCATAATAGCACGTGACCATCCCTGGAATGTCACCCCGACACTCAGATTCCACAACTCAGCCAATGTAACCTGATAATAACTACCTGATTTGTTAATGACCGACAAATAATTCCAGCAGGTATGTGGTGTATTCAATTACTCCTCAACTGAGACCACACAAAGTACTAATTTATAATCCTACCCTAATTGCTCCCTCCACAGCCTCCATCTATCTCCCTTAGTACTCTTAGTGCCGCCCATGTTCACCTCCTCATTGGGTGGGGCGCGTACGCGTCTACTGAAAGTACCACGACGCGTGCCCACAACATCATCACCAATCCGTCACCACCAACACTACTATTTATTAGTCTCACGGAACTGGAGCCACAACCACACTAGCTCTTCCAATTTCTATTCCACTAGAGGAGCATCCACATCCACATCCACACCATCATCAAATACGATAAGAACCGTCGCACTAGTTAGTGCGGTTAGCGCGCCTGCATTATGGTGGCTCAGCACCAACACAGACACTAGTATTAGGGATATTACTACTCCTAGCCACAACAATGACAATGCAGATACAGCCAACGATGCACCGTATCTTCCTCACATACCGCCTACACACGAAGCGGTGGTAGTGGTAGAGATAGGTCTCTCAGAGGAAGAAGTAACGCGGCTGATATCGCGCGATGCGTACTCCTTTCCCGTGAGAAAAGTCCCCGGCGTGAGCAGATATGATGGTGTGCAGGTGGGGTCTAATGACCCGTGCGAGGACCGGTTTGTGCATGGGAGGTTTGAGGCGCCGTGGGGTGGTCATGATGATAGTAACGAACAGGCGCAGTGGATGGCGTGGGGGGTGTTTGATGGGCACTTGGGCGGGCAGATGGCCGAGGTGTTGAGGGAGAGGTTGGTGGGGGTTGTGCGGGATCGATTGGGGTTGTTGAGTTGCAATGGAGGTGATGTGGGTGAAGAGGCGGTTCATCGGGCGATTATGGACGGGTTTGTGGGTCTTGATGATTCGATTGTTAAGGGGGCGATGGAGTTGTCGGAAAGTGAGATGCCGTTGGCGGAAAAGGTGAAGAGGCTTGCTCCTGCGTATGCGGGATCGTGTGCTTTGCTGTCGTTGTATGATCCTGCGTCGCGCATGTTGCATGTTGTATGTACTGGTGATTCACGCGCGGTGTTGGCGAGGAAACGAGCAGATGGGGGGTGGGAGGCTGTTCCTCTGTCTGTGGATCAGACTGGTAAGAACGAAGATGAGATTGCTAGGCTTCGTGCGGAACATCCTGGTGAAGATGAGGTGGTCAAGGGTGGCCGCGTATTGGGTCTGGCTGTCTCGCGTGCTTTCGGCGATTGTCAGTGGAAATGGCCGTTGGAGTTTCAGAATGATGTGCAGAAGAGGTTCTATGGCCCGGCGCCGTTGACGCCGAGGTATCCGGTTCGCACGCCGCCGTATTTGACGGCTGAGCCGGTGGTTACTAGTACTAGGATTAGGGATGGAGAGCCGGCGTTTCTGATTATGGCGACCGATGGGCTGTGGGATATGATGTCTAGTCAGCAGGCTGTTGATTTGGTGGGGAAGTGGTTGGAGGGGGCAGCTGTAGGTGAGAAGAGCAGCAGGTTGGAGTCTCCTGGACGGTTTGACTTCAGCCGGTTTTGGGATGAAGTGGATTGGCAATTCGTGGAGGAACGGACAGCAGTCCAGGATGACAATGCTGCTGTGCATTTAGTGCGCAATTCTCTTGGGGGCAATCATCATGAGATGATAGCTGGTCGGCTTGCTTTTAGCTTTCCGGCTTCTCGGCGAGTGAGAGACGATGTGACCGTGCAGGTGGTCTTCTTCAATGAAGGCCCACAAAAGTGAGGGAAACCTCTTTTGATATATGTTCTGAAATATAGACACCCAAAATATCATGATTCCAACCCCATCCTGCTCCTACACCTTGCTCTAACCCCCCGACTAGCCTTCTGGGCCTGCGAAATGATCTCCCCCTCAAGCCCACACACCAACTTCCCACCCACCACCAAAATCTCTCCATCAACCATCGTCAAATCTACATCTCTACCCGTACACCCATGAATCACCGTCGTAACAACCTTCGCCCCATCCTCATCCTCCCAATGCCACGGCGCAGCGCCCACCCCTCCCCTCCCATACGGATCCACAACCACCAGATCTGCCTTCTTACCGACCTCCAAACTCCCAATCTCATCTCCCAGCCCCAGCGCCCTAGCTCCATTAATCGTCGCCATTTCCAACACCGTCTCCGCCCCGACCACCCTCGCGTCGCGACACACCCCCTTATGCAGAATCGCAGCTAAATGCATCTCCTGGAACATATCGTAGTGATTCGAACACGGCGCGCCATCTGTCCCTAGCCCCACATTAATCCCGTGCTCATACTCCAGCATCGCTGGTATCGGCGCCACCCCAGATGCTAGTTTCAGATTCGAGCTCGGGTTATGCGCTACCGATGTATGCGTAGCACTTAGGAGTGGTAAATCTGCTTCAAGGTCAAGGTTGACCATATGTGCTAGCACGAGACTGTGACTTTTGCTCTGTGTTTCTCGAAGGTTAGGGCAGAGTTCCGTATCCCGGATGAATTCCATCGCGCTGCACCCGTACACATCATGGTAGATCTCTCGGTCTCGGGGTGCCTCGGCGCAGTGCATGGTTAGTGAGATGCCGTGCGATGCACATGTTTCTCCTAGCTCGCGGTATAGTGAAGCTGGTGCGCCCCGGGGAGTTCCAGCCGCGGCCCACACGTGCAGTCGGTTATTGTGCGTGCCATGGTGGGCTTCGTGGGCGGAGAGCAGACCGGGAATAGACATGACGAGGAGGTCCTGGTCGCGTGGGTCGGTGATGGATAGTTGGCGGTTTGTTTCGGGGAACTTGATGAGTTTGCCCTATCACGATCCTAACATGTTAATATTTACCCCGGAATATAATAGAGTGGAAAGGATAGGTATGTTTACCAAACACCCCCTAATTCCCATCTCCCCCACAGCATCACAGACACTCTCCCATCCCGCTCGATAGGTCACCATGGGGTCCAAGAAACATGTCGTCCCCGTCTAAAGCATCTCCGCGATGGTGAGCCGCGCAGCATGGTAGCCATCCTTGTCTGCGTAAGATGCCTCGAGGGGCCAGATTGCGTCGCAGAGCCAGTTGTGGAGAGGGAGGTCTTCGGCCAGTCCGCGGAGAAGAGATTGAACCAAGTGCGCGTGGATGTTGATCAGTCCTGGGAGGATGATCTTGCCGGTGCAGTCGATGGTTGTTATGCCTGGCGTGAGAAGATCGGCGGGGACGGGAGATGCCCCGATAGCGGCGATGCGGGTGTCGCGCACGAGGAGGTATCCATTGCGGATTATGGCACGGTCGGGATTGATGGTTATGATTGTGGCGTGCGTAAATAATGTTTCTTTAGGAGGTGCTGAGGTCATTTTGATTCTGTATGGTGTTGAAAAGGACAGAAGAAGAATGGAGGGAGCTCTTGTAGCTCTGGTGGGGACGTTCAACACTGTCGATCACGATAAGCAGCCCTCGGCCGAGGAGCTATCCATTTGCCGATGTCGATACCTGCATGAATGGCTTATCGTTATCTGATATCACCGTTATCGGGGAGATATAGAAAATTATACAAGATGAGCTAGTTCTGCTGGATCAGTTGATGGGACTGCTACTCTTCTCATCGAGATCCGCTATGGAGTCCAAGTCTAGCCCTATCTCCACTGAAGAGTCCCCGTCCCACACAACTGGGGAAGTTCTCCACGCTTCATCGAAGTGGGGATACTGGAAACACTATCTGACTAGTAGAGATGGCTGGATCGGCGACTATGTAGGTGCTTATTTACCATACTTTGGCTCTACTAATATATTCAAGGACTACATGTACCTGATTACACCGAATATTTACCCTCTCAACAAGCGCTACAAAGGCGCTGAACCGCCATTCTATGGCCTCAATGATGAGGTTCCGATCTTACTAACCATCATCCTGGGCCTGCAACATGCCCTAACAATGATCGGTTCGGTGGTTTCTCCTCCTTTGGCCCTCGCAAGTGGTGCCTTTTATCTGAATTCGGTACAGTCGCAGTACCTGGTCTCTGCAGCATTCATCACTACCGGCATCGCCACAGCATTGCAGGTAACACGGATACACCTCTTCAAAACACCATTATATATTGGCACGGGGCTACTCTCTGTAGTCGGTCCCACATTCGATGTTATCGCTGTTGCCATGAACTACGCAGACACCAGGTACAACAATGATTCATGCCCGACAGACGAGAACGGTTCGCGTCTCCCGTGTCCCGAAGCATGGGGTGCCGTGCTAGGTACCTGTTTGTGTACCGTCTGGATACAGATCCTCATGTCCCTAGTAGCTCCAAAGGTGCTGAATCGTATCTTTCCCAAGGTAGTCACGGGAACTCTGCTGCTCCTCGTTGGAGTATACCTTATCTCAAGTGGGATGGAGAACTGGGGTGGTAGTTCAAACTGCGATGGTGGAACAGGGTATTACGCCCTATGTCCCAATGTGGATGCTCCGAAACCACTACCATGGTATGTTCCTCCCTCCATTTCATGTAAAATGCTAATACTCTCAGGGGTGACCCCAAACTTATCGGCCTCGGCTTCAGCGTCTTCGCCACCATCATATTTGTCGAGTTCGTCGGCTCCCCACTCATGAAGTCCGCCTCAGTCATCCTAGGCCTAGCAGTCGGCTGTGCCATTTCCGGCGCAACAGGCTACTGGTCTCGCGACGAGATCGACGCTGCACCCGTGGGTACCTTTCTCTGGGTACATACCTTCCCGTTGTCTGTCGACGGTGCACTCGTTCTCCCGCTTCTTATCATGTTCGTCTGCGAGGCTGTCAGCTGCATGCCGGATATCCTGGCTACAGCCGAGATTTCTCGCGTTGATATCGAGGGACGGGAGTTCCATAGTCGCATTCAGGGCGGGATCCTGTGTGATGGACTGGGAAGTCTGAACAGTGCGTTGGGCACTGGCTTGCCGATGGTTAGTCAGGCGGGAAATAATGGGGTTATTTCGTTGACTGGATGCGCCGTACGTATTTTCACTATTTTCTTGCCGCTACAGTGCTTATGGGTACAGAGCCGACGAGCCGGATGGTGTGCCTCTGCCTTCCTCCTTCTGATGGGCATCTTTGGCAAATTCGGCGCTGTCTTCGGATCCATGCCTCCTTCGGTGCTCGGAGGAATGCAGGTGTTTCTGTATAGCACGATTGTGGTGGCTGGTGTGCGTGTCCTCGGTCTGGTTGATTTCAACCGACGCAATAGATTCATTCTTACTGCGTCGCTGGGGATCGGCATGATGGATATCGTCTCACCGAGCTGGTTTAGTTCCGTGTTGGCGTATAGCGGACCGAATGTGCATTTACAGGGGTTTGAGCAGGGTATAAACCAGATTGTTGAGACGCCGTTTATTATTGCTGCGGTCGTGGGTGTGGTACTGAATCTGGTGTTGAAGGAGGATGAGAAGGTGGATACGGTGCTGCCTTAGGATATTGTCACCTTGGAGTACATTAATCTTGTAATTATCATGGACGAGTATGCACAGTTACAAGATAGACTAATCGAGACTAAATATGAAAAACACGGTCATAAACTCTTGTTAAACATTGTAGCTATCTGGTTAAGTAAAGAAAACAGTCAAGCAACCTGCTCCATCAACTTCAACTTCTCCTGCAACGCCGCAAAATTTCTCTTCATCGCATTCGCATTGAACTGCTCCCCCGTGACAAGCGGATACTTCTTCTTCGGCCCCTGGATCAACGCGTCCTTGCACGGCTGATTGAAGTACGCGATACTATATCGATCGCCGAAATAATCACCTGGTTCGGAAGGCGCCTTGACGCGATGAAACGTGGACTTGAACCGATCGTCCGACCACGACATCAGCAAGTCCCCAATGTTACATACTATATCCCCAGTATGTGCCTCCACTCGTGTCCATTTATCCCCGATGCCGAATTCTGTCACGACCTCTCGTCCGGGGCATATCTCCAGCCCGCTCTGGCCTTCCTTTTGAAATAGAAGGGTGAGAAAGTCCCAGTCTGCGTGTGCTCCAGCCCGGTGGTAGGTCTTCCCGTCAGGTTGGTCTGGTAAGGCGTAGTAATGTAAGAGACGCATGGTGGTTTGTTCGTTCGGTCGCGATACATCGTGGCATTTGATGAAGAAGTCAACCGGGAAGCCGAGGCCCCGCGCGAAGCAGATCATCAAGCGTTCAGAAACATCCTGTACGCGGTGCATAAATGTGAGGGATGTGTCTTTGAAGCCAGGAAGATGTGCATCGTCCATCCACAGGTCGGTCATGTTCTCCCCGAACTGCAGCTGGTAGGACTCTTTGGTATCGGGCTGGCCCGTCGAGGGCCGTATTTGGGCTTTCTTCTCCCATCCTACGTTGTTGGCGTTCCATGGTACAGTGGCTTTGATGTCGTCGGGGAGGGAGAAGAAGCGCTGTGCAGTGGAGAACATGTTATCGATTTCGGAGACGGAAATGCCATGGTCAACTAGGGTGAAGAAGCCCACGTTCTCCGCGGCGTTGACAAGTTCGGCGGTGATTTCGTCGATGCGCTGGTCAAAGTCGCGCAGCGAGATGCGAGGGATAGGACGGTCAACGTATCGTGTTGTCATTTTTCTAGCTTGGATGTAGCTTGATGATGCTATAATGCTCTGATGCTATGATGGTGTTGATGAGGGTATAGTTATACGAAACGAAGCTAAGAGAGTCAGCTCGGCCGAGCTTATCAGCGGGGAACTGCGATGTCGGCCGTTTCCCCGCCTTATCAATCAGTGACTGGTCCAACCCCAACCCGGCCGAACAACAAACCACTTTCTCCCCATCATGAGCTCCATCCGTCGACGCCTGGCCTGTGTGGAGTGCACTCGGCGCAAAATCCGCTGTGACAAAGTTGTTCCATGTCGCAATTGCACCAGGAGGTGAGCTTCCCCGAATTTGCTCTTGACAGCGGCTGACTCCGACAGAGGCATTACTTGTTCTCGTGCCCGAGGTAGCGACGATGAGGTGGAGAGACTACAAGCTCGTGTCCAGGAGCTTGAATCTGCCCTGAGAGAGGCGACTGATCCACATTTGCAACCTAATTCTCGATCCAAATCTGAGATCATCCACAATGCCAGCAATACCCCTGTCTCCGAGACGGTGGAGACCCCCGAACGTGAAATGGCGGACGCCGCCACCATCCTCGAGTTCCTCGCCTGGGGCCGACGGAAGAACCCGGACTATCACGATATGCTAGCCCGTAAAGATGGTGTTGAGCATCATTCCCCTGGCGACGTGACGGCCGAAGGCAGCGGCGATGACCGGAACCCCGAAGTTTCCTCCGCTCTGGCGTATCTCCAGCTCCTCCTCCCAGACCGTGAGCTCATGCAGCAGCTCGTCTCTTACCATTGCGACTGCGTGCTTTGGTACCATGGCTCCTTTCACTCCCTTCGTCTACAAGACGAACTCGACGACTTCTTCCGCTTCGCCAATGGTCATATCGCCCATCCTCGCGTCGACCTGCAATGGGTCGCTCTTCTCTTCTCTGTCCTTACCGGCGCCCTCGCCTGCGCTCCTCGCATGACTGCCCAGACATGGGGCTTTTCCGAATGGGAGCAGACCACTCTAGCGCAGCGATGGTTCAAAGCCGTCTCGACGTGTCTACACCACGCCGACTTTACCGCCATCCACTCCTTATATGCCGTCCAGGCCATCGCAACACTAACCATGTCCGCTCATCTCCTCGGCTTTTCTAATAGCCTCTCTGTCCTGCTCGCAGCCGCTACCCGTATTGCCCAGGGTCTGGGACTACACCGTCTCGGCTCGGAACGTGAAATAGAACCCTCGCCGGCCATGATTGACCGCGAAATTGGCCGTCGTGCATGGTGCCAACTCTGCATCCAAGACTGGTTCTCCATACCCTTCTCGGAAAGTTATCTCATCCCACGGACGTGCCTGAATACCGCCCGTCCGCGGAACTGTCGTGACGATGATATGCTGAAGCGACCTGACGATGAACCAAGTGTCGCGGGCTACTCAAGGTTCTTTTACCAGGTCGCGGCGCTTATGCCATCGTTGCAGGACAGTATGGCTGCGTCGAATACCCTGTATACGCGATACGAGAAGGTTTTGGAACATGATCGTAAACTGCGCAGCTTGGCTACACAGGGTCTCCCACTCTACTTGAGGAATGTACCTGTCGAGGAGCATCCGGAGTGGCCGAGATATGTCCACTGGGCGAGACGCAGCTTGGCGATCAGCTCATCGCACAAGATCATCATGATCCATCGAAAGTTCCTCGAGTTAAGCTTCACAAATCCTGTGTTCGCTAGGACGCGTCGCACGTGTGTTGCTGCTGCCCGGACAATCATCAAGGAACAGAAGGAGGCAATCCATGACGGCGGACCGGTGCTTTGGATCC